CTCTAAGCGACCGGAAATGACGGTCTCTAGTTGTGCTCAGTGCACCCATCCATCTTGCTGTCTTTGGGGGTTACTCTTAAAATCTAGTGCGTCCAGAATCAGGGGTACCCTGAGTTCTCATAATTCCTGCAGCCCGGTCATCCCAAAGCACTTGTCAAAACACGGACTTAACCCTGAGCCTAAAACCCTAAACTGCCGTTTTCAGGCGGCGCACTACTTGTGGCCGCCTGACACCGGCGCCAGTCACACTCACCCAGGTTCGGGCTTTTCTAGGGCTGGCATCCTATTACCGACGCTTCATCAAGGGGTTCACCGTCATAGAGAAGCCCCTCACGAACCTGCTGAAGAAAGAGGAACAACTGATCTGGACACGGGAATGCGAAGCGGCGTTTCAGGCGTTGAAGGAGGCTCTCACATCTGCTCTTGTGTTGGCACGCCCCAACCCGACAAGACCGTTCGCACTGTACACAGACAGGCAACCTCAGGCGATATCGGCGGTGCTGACTCAACACGGCAAGGACGGAAGGGAGCACGTCATTGAGTATGCGTCCAAGACGCTGAGCCAGGCGCAGGCTAATTACGAAGCGTGCAAAGGTGAATGCCTGGCGGTGGTGTGGGGGATTCAGCATTTCCGACCGTATCTGTACGACCAGAAATTCGTGCTGGTAACAGATCATCAGCCGCTGCTGTCCCTACGCAACAACACGGGCTACACGGGGACGCTGGGCAGGTGGGCGGTGCGTCTGCAATGCTATGACTTCGACATCCACCACCGTGTCATGCGGCAGCATGGTAACGCCGATGGATTAACGCGCCTTCTGCTGCCCAACAAGTGTCCCGCCAACGAGCGACTCATTGCGTGGAGGCCAGAAGTCGCGGCGACGAAATCGCACTACGGGGAGCTACACGTGCTGTGTAAGGACGACGCCTGAGTCTGGAATGGAGGTTTCATTGGAGATGGCCGATGCTATCTCTTTGCCCTCATCCCACTCCCTCGCCCTCTCGTCTAGCCCCAACTTGTCCCCTGAAACACACCTAAGTCCCTGTTTCTTCTGTACCTTGCCTATGATCCCGGACCAAGAAGGGTCACATCCGGGAGGGCCCAGTTTTCTTTTATGGGTACAGTGTAGTCAGTGTCATACGGTTAAATCTCACGCACAGTGCGTTAGGTACCGAAGTGAAAAGACGTGGGTCTGTCCCAACTGTAGAACGGACCAAGTCCCTACCGAGAAGCGGTATCTGGACGCTAGAACAGCCGACGGATTTGCACCAAGTGCCCGCCGGGCAGAAGCCTGAACGGACCTGCTATTGCTACGGAGAGTGTCAGGCGACTCGTTGATAGAACTTACCAAAGCCGAACGACGGAGAGTCACGGAGCGGGCGCAGGACTATCGCTGGCAGGGCCCGACGTTACAAAAACGGAAGGTCGATGACGACGGAGAGTCTAGCTGGTTGACGGTTCCACACCCTCTTGCTAGGTTTGATTAGACACGAGCTGCTCATGAGGAGGATGCGGTCCATTTTGCGGTCAAGTACACGGAAAAAGCCGTCAAAAATAACGGATGGTACTGGTCGGGAATTCGAGAAGATGTGAAATACATCGTTCAGAATTGACCGGCCTGCGCGGCGGACAAGGCGCCGGTATAGATGCCTCGGACGATGGTTCCCACTCGTGTAGAGCGCCCCTTTCAGAGGGTTAGCATCGATACGACGGATATCAACGTTCCGAGAGGGCCCGTCGATCAGGAAGAGCTCAATGTTTTTTTAGTGGCAGTCGATCATTTTTCAAAATGGATCGAGGCGTACCCTATGACCAGCCAGAATTCGCAGGAAGTAGCCTGGTATGTAAATCAATTTTTGTGCATGCATCTAGACGTAGAAGAGGTACACATGGACAATGGGTCGGAATTTCAAGGCGAAGTAGAACGTCACCTAGTCAGGGCGGACGTTAAGATTATGTACTCATCGGGGCATTGGCCTCAAGCCAATGGCCTGGTAGAGAATGCCAACCGACTGATTAAGACGGCCCTTAGACGAAATATCACTGAGGAAGACACCCGACCCGGGCCGGTCATTGTCGATCACATTTTGGCCGTTTATCGGGCTACCCCACACGGTAGTACTGGGGTGTCCCCCTTTCAACTAAGAACCAATAGTGTCCCTCGGGTGCAATTGTCCCCCTTAGTAGGTACGGAAGTTAGAGCAACACAGGCCCAGAATCGAGACAAGGCCCGCCACTACACTTAATGGCTAGGGCCTATCCCCCGTTAGCTCGCCATCGACAGCAAGCCGTAGATCGGACACATCAACGGCAGATCCGTGACTATGAGAATCAACACGCGTCGGCGGGACCACTGTCCCGCTATAAAGTTGGGGACTTGGTGCAGGTATGGAAATCTGCGCGTTCCTCCAAGATCCACCCGTGTTACACAGGCATTTACGAGGTCACGGAGGTTGGCGCACAGGGACAGCACTCCGTGAAGCTGATTCCCCGTCACAACTCCCAAGCCCGACCGCTGACACGGCGAGCTGCCGCGCTCCGACCCTTCCAACCATCGCTAGGTCCCCTACGGACCCCCGCTACTGCGAGATCACCCTCTCCTTTTTCATCCTCCTCCTCTTCCCGATCTGCCTCGTCCATTGGTGCTGAGAGTTTCAGGGAGCAGGATGAACCATCGCCAGCCGGAGCATGAGCCCCTCGAGCACTTCCAGACGCCGCTTGCAGATCGCTTGTTGCGGCATCGGTTTAATGAGGAGAGGCAGTTTTTGGTACGACATCCAACAGGTGAACGTGCCAGCGCCCGGGGTTGCTGATTTGGCAGTGTACTCGTTGCTTTGCGATCGGCTGACATATGCGGGAGTGTACGTGGACGTGACGTAGTTGCCTGGCCGGGAGACGACCCGAGTATTCATTGAGTTCCGTGCGCTCCAGGTGGCACCCAACTTCGTGCGCAGCGTCGCCACCTTCATCGGAGACTTGACGGTCCTACCGCAGCAGAATCAGGAACCGGCGTGCAGCTTTGTGCGCGAATACGCATTGGAAGCGGCCAGATGAATGGCCAGAGTGCAAGGACGGGGGGGACACCGATTCACAGCCCACGAAGTGCTGCTTGGTAGGGCAGAGGACAGACCAATTGCGTTGGTGCCGCAGCTCCCCGCGCTTCTCCCTCCCGCTGCTCCTCTCAACCTCCAAGCTATTCCTCCTGTCCCGTACTAAATGCCTCCTTTCTTCTCCTACACCACCCTCCCCTACCAGCTCACGGAGGGCCCTTACCCCATGCGTGAGTTCTCGGAGTATTTGGTGGAGCTAACTGACGTGAAGCCGCTGCCCTTCGCCGACGAAGACGCGTGGGAGTTGCACCGTGCGCTGTACAAGTCGGTGGCGCTGGGGATGTTCCGGTTCTTCGTGGATCACGAAGACCACGCTATCGGGGAGCACTTCGTCGTTTACTACGTCATCGCGCGGCCCAAGCCAGCGGAGAAGGAAGGGACGGTGGCGCTGTACCCCTTCGCCCCGCTCCAGACAATCGATCCGGGATTGTTGGAGCTCATACATCTTGAGCTCCTCTCCATTGCGCAAGTGATCGCGAGCGAGGAGGAGGAGATCCAACCACGATTGCGGACGGGGACGGCCCCGCGGAGAACGTACAACGCGGTCGTCATCCCGGATTACATTGCGCAGCACGCGGAGAGATTGGAGGACTTCCCGGAGGAAAGGCCGTTGCGTCCTCCCTCGTCGTATCCTCGACCAGCGCCACCGAAGGCCCCCAAGAAGACGCCGAAGAGGAAGAGACGCCACCCGTCGCCAGGAGCGCAAGGCAGCAGGACCGGCGGCGGCGAGGACGTGATTCAGCCCGCGCGTACGCGGATTCCTGACCCTGTGCCTGGGAGCGCGGCCACACTCGTTAAGGAGACTATCGTGCCATCGCCGCCCATTCCGCGTGTGCCCGATCTCAATCTTGATGGAGTCGGGCCATCATCATCAGCAGCAGCCGGAGGAGGAAACCGAATGGGATTTTCGGATCCCATATCCAGACCCCCCGTCCTCGCGGGACCTCTCCGTTCCCGCCAGCCACCCCGGCGTGCCCCGGTCATTGACATTAGTAGTTCATCCGAGCCGGACGGTCCATCCGACCGAGGTGGACTTCATGGTGGAGCCCGCCACCATCAGGCTCGAGGCTATCACGGGGGCGCCTCGCCCTGATCCAGCGTGGGAGCCATATCTGACACCCCCTTTCCAAGGGTGTATTGCGACGCGATCGGCTGGGACGCTCATCTACGAGACAGGGCAGCGTCCAAACGCAATGTACCACTTCCTGGTCTTCGCGGCGCAGAAGCGGGAGCGGCGGCCTTGCACCGAGACTCATGTGGTGATGACGGGTCGACGGCCCCGATCGGTGCGCAAGCGGGTGGTGCGAGCGGTAGCGGATTTGGCGCCACGTGTCCTCTCACATGTGCTGGGGGCTTTCCTTTACCCCTCGTTCGTCCAGCATCACTTCCATGAGGAAGATGCGCCGACGACTCCTGCGGCAATGGCCGCTTTTCTTCCACCTATTCCGCCCCCTCTCAATCCCGACATAGATCACTTCCTCTGATCACCCTCGTCTACCTCCCCCCTTTCCTCTCCTTCTCCTTCTCCTCTTTTTCTTCTTCTTTTCCGGATCTAAAAGCTTGTGCGACGATACGCGCTGTATATTTGACGATATATATATAAAAAAAAAAAAAATCTTTTTACTTACCGATCGGGCCAGCTGACAATGAAGGGGCCGCCCGATCGAATGTATACTATGGGTGGAGGCGATGGAGGATGCAGGATGCATCCACGTAGATTAGGAAGATGATCTGGCCAGCTGACGATGAAGAGGCCGCTCGATCATCCATGATATGATGGCATCAGCAGTTGGGAGACTGGTAATTTTTCGGAACCCCCTCCGTATCACAGATGTGATAAGCTCAGATCCGTACCACGCGGCTTGCCGTATCCATGAGGAAAAATCTTGCGGAAGCCCCGAAGTACGGACGCAGATAGAAAGGGTTTTTTTTTTCTTTTTGCTTTTGTTTTCTTTTGAAACGGCTTTTTCATTTTGTTTGGTTAATAACTCCCGCGGGCGAATAGCAGCGGCGGTATGAAAACCAAGAAACGGGTGCGGTTGGGATTTTTTGAATTTTTTGCGCGCGCGCCCAAGCTCCGGTTTTTTCTCGCGTTTCGCATCCCCGTTTCTTGCTTTGCATCCTCGCGCCATCTTCCCTTCTTGCTGCGCGCGTTTTCCCCATGCAGGACTCTTCGTCTTCCCCTACGCCCAACTTGATCCTTACCCCGTCTTCCTCCGCGAAGTGATTGGCTGCGTAGTTGGGATGCTCGGATCAATGTGGAAAGAGGGAAATCGTGCACCACTTGGACGAACACCCCAATCACGTAGCCATGCAATCCCGCAGATCAAACCCTCTAACTCCCCACCCCTCTCTTCTGTCCTGCTCATCTACACCTCGCGTTGTTAACCCGCCGCCTCCCGCGCTATAAATTTGCGCAACCCTCTCCTCTCCCTCTCTTTGATCTGGGCTGCAATGCTGCGTGAGCTATGCGCAAGAGTCCGCGGCGTCGAACAGGCTCGACGAGCCCAAGGCCGGGCGGAGTGACGACGTGGGGTGGACTCTGCGGTAGTCTCGGGGCGAAGCAGTCGGAGGGACTGAGCAGTGGTGGGGATTGGACGCCGGCCGCGGCAGGGCCTTGTGGCTATGGTGGTCGGTGGTCTTGGGAAGTTTTGAAGGCTGCGCCTGGGAGCAACAGTTAATTGAAATTTTTGTGTACAAGAAGGACTCGCTTTTATCTCCATCGCTGCTTTGTCTATGCATGTCGTGTGTGTGAAGCCCCAAGTGATGGGAGCTGGTTATGCGCATGAGTGACGTCGAAGGTCCATGGATGATTAGATTTCCTGTCAAGGGTTGTTGATAACATGCATGTATGTGTGTATGTACTTGTCCGGGCGGGGATGGGGAAACTGAACTGGGGGACCGTCCGCTTAGGAGTATGAGTGTGTTGATCCGGTTGTTTCCCTCCCCTCCACGGCCTTTCCTGCGCTCTCGCGCGATCTTGGCGTAACTCTCTCCCTCCCTTTCCGATCGCCTTCCTTTTGAACTAACAGTCATCGCCTTTTAGAGCTTCTCGTCCCCGTACCAGTGATGTCAACCGCCTGCATCAGCGCGGACGGTCGACACCCCCGCCAAGGGGAGAAAGCTTAGATTCCGTCATCCTCCCCCTACGCACCCACTTTTGAGAGAGAAAAGTTGCAACAATTGCTTCATGGATTCGGTGTTGGTTCGGATGATCGGCAACGCGGGATCTTGCCCGTGTTCATCACGTACCTCCGATCGTCTCATTTCGCTACCGACCTTCCCCATCACAGATGACGACAGCGTCTCCTGCGATGCGGATGTACGTCGCGGGCTGAGGAGGATGGAGCAAGTGTGTTGGCAAGACCCGCCTCGGGCTTGTGAGATAAGGGGGAACGGGTTTGTGTTGATTGATCGCTTTGATTCCCCGACTTTGATATTGCCTTATACGGGTTTAACGGTGTTGCCCTGGTCGGCCGCTCACGCCGCTTTGCGACCGCAGTTTGATTGTCGCTGGTGTCGCCAGGGTGACTCATGTTCGTGGCGACGGCTGGTCCTGGGTTACGAGGGAGCGACACGTTTCCCCGAGCTTTCCCATAGTGCGGGGGCGCTGCCCGTGCAATTTCAAATTCAGATGTCGGCGAGTCCTCCCGCCGCTTTACTCTCCCGGAAACTTTCGCGCGGGCTTTATGAGTCCGACGCCGAGGCTTGAAGGCCTCGAACCAACCACCTCTACAGCAAAAGACCCGAGGGTTCGGCCACTTCGTGAGGCCGATGACGAGGCCTGAAGGCTTCGAACCCACCATCTATCCCCAGAACCCATGATGGCCGGAGTTTTTGTCGCCTGCCGCCATGGCCTCCTCCCCTTGATGCCTTTTCCCGTCCCGATGCACGACGACAATCCATTTTCACAGAAACCCTTCTGATTTTATCATTTCGAAGTAATCCGACCCCCGCAGGACTTCGCGACGACAATTCGACTCCGAAGAAAAACCTTGGCCAAGAAACGAGAGCCTCTCGTTCCGTCCGGGAGACTCAACCCTTACGGCAAAAAATCCTCGGCCACGCCCCTCCTAGAACTCTGATCGGCGACCCCGTAGGGGAAGCTGCGAGGGGGCGTGAGGTTCGCGTATCACACGTGCGCTTGCCCTTCCTCAATCTCTCCCTCAGACCTGGTCGGCACTTCCGGGAGCGCCGCGGCTTATCCCTCGTATTAAGCATTGGGCAAAACAACTCGATAAAATATATTTCCCTAACCAAAAGATCCTCAGAGGAATAACAACAGAGAGAGACAATGGCATAAGTGTGAGCACCACACCTCTGAAGCCACCTATACAACTTCTCATTTCTCCTACCCCCTTCAATCCCATCCGAATGACAGGCACGATAGACGTGCTCATGCCAGCGAGAGTGTAAGTCACGTTGCGTGCTACCAATATACAAATGTCTCGACCATGGCGATAGCAAAGCATAGACGACAGGCCCCTTCTATTCACCCCCAAACAACAAACAAGGTGACGTCAACAGAAAATCCACCCCACGGAATCTCATTAGATAGGATAAGATCGCAGACTGTGATACTCAACAACACATTAAGCTCCCTGCACCTAAAAAAAACCGAAGATAGAGACCGAAATCTACAACAGATTCGTACAATACCCCAGAGAGAGGCCGCGTTCGGGCGTGACCCTAAGATGTAGCCGAGTCACGCCCGTCGCCCATATCGGAGGACTCCTCCCTGTCTTCCGAGACATCAAGAACTAACCGACTTTTTTTTCTTACCTTCATCGGCATCATCCTCGTCGTAGATTTTTGCAGCACGCTTCTGTACAATCTTTTCCTTCATGGGTTCCAACTTGGAATACACCACACCTTCTTTGTCGCAAATAACTATAATTTATTCCTTCTTCATTGCTCGCAACTACCTTCTTGTGTCACGAATGAACGCTTCCTTTTCATTGATCTTACCCTCTGGAGTCGCTGCCACCTTACCTTTGTCTTTCCTGGCCGAAGGCCCTGCCACCTTATCCAGCCTCGCTTTGAACGTAAAATCCTGCACCTTAGCTTGTTTCTCCATCTCAAGTCGCGCCAAGGCCTCCTTTAGTCTGCCGACCTCCCGCTTGGACTCCTTCCTGACGTTGACTTCTTTCAAACGCATCTCCTTAAGCAAATCCACATCCGCTCGGTGTCTCTCGACAATACCCTTCAGTTCCACATCGACCCGCCTTCCGGTCTCGGGAGATTCAATCGGAGTATTCCGAGGCCTAAATCGTGCCTGCGTAACCGGAGTTTGACCAATTGCAACACAACCTCACTTGTTGTCTGGCCTGAGGGCTTCAAACTTCCACACCTCAGCACTCGCCTTAGCCTCCTCACACCTTCCTTTCAACGATGCAATGACGTCCTCTAGTGCCGCAAACCTTCGATCAGGAGTAGATTTCATGTCCGCCTGCTCACTACGTAACCCTGCAAGCTCCTCTCCTTCATTGGTACGTTTTGTTGATGTTGACGTCATCGGTCCCCTCACACGTTTCGTCAGTTCCGCGACCTCAGCCTTATGCCTAACGACCTCCTCACCATCGTTGCTCCTGGCAGAAGCTCCAGCAATATAGGACTCATTCAAAGATCTCTGCAACTCCTTCAACTGAACCTTCAACCTAGCCACCTCATCACTGTTACCGCCCTTCTTCGCGGAAACAGCCTCACAAACTCGGTCAGTCTTGCTGTTCATTTCCCTGTTCATCTAAGCCTGAAATTCCTCATGTTCTCGCTTCTCACGCTGCCTACGTTCCTCTAACTCGTGCTCATGCTTCTTCCTATCCTCTTCTTCACGCGCTGCTTGCTCTCTAGCCTCCTTAGCCTCATGCTTGGCAGAAATCCTACCCACCTTCTCCTAAAGTGTGCTAACCCTGCTACCCAGCCAGCTGCTACCGCTGGAAAGTTGTCTCGAATAGGGTTGGACGGCAGTTCCAACACCATTGCCAGGCAAAGTTAACTGTGGAGCTTGCGCTGGAACAATAGCAGTACTAGTCGACGACTATACTCCATTCAACCGGCTATCAGGGAGGGGACAAAACCTAGCCAAGTGGCCATGCTGGCCACAATTGTAACACGGACCCCTAACACCACCACTGTTCATGCTGTGGAAGTTGAAAGCCTGACCCATCGTTGCACGGAAAACCAAAGCCACACAACTGTAGTATCATTCCTACGTTGGTTACTCCGTGAGTCAAAGAGAGTTAAGCACAAGGCTTAAACACGTAAAGATGGTTTCAACACACCAACACTTATAATATTGTAGCAGCACCAACAAAGTGGAGAGAGAAAAAAAAAACAAAAAAAAAACATAGAGAAAACACGGATGTCCCGAATGCGACTTTTTTAAAAAATATAACGTCAAGCAAGGCGAGCGACCCTACCGGTTTCACCAGACCGCCAACCTGGATCATAAGGGGTCTGAAAGTCGATGCGATGGGCATCGTGTCACAAAAATATATACTCCACACTGATACCGGTAGACTAGTCTAGACACCGCCAGAAAATCATAGTTCAACAAGCTTCAACAGTAAGTCGCACAATCCCTCAGCCCGAGAAGTCCATTGTTCAAACCCGTTACCTATCAAGCCCATCACAAGCGGAACAAACTTCAGCACTAAGTCACACAATCCTTCAACCCGACAAATCAATGGTTCAAAACCCCTTACCTACCAAGCCTACCACAAAAAAGCAAGATCTAACCTACAACAAGAGGAAATCAACAGATATCGTGATCGAAACGGGTGCAAAAAGTAGCACGACAATTCCACACGCTAAAAACATAAGTCAACCGATCCACCCCAGCAAGCAATACAGCAAGATGCAAAAAAACACTATGTTAACAGACTCGGACTCTAACCCACCCATCATAACACCCTCAGCTGAAACAACAACACAAATCAAACCTACCCATACTCAAAACCAAAAAGCAAAAACGGATAACCCCCCTAAACCGAGGGTCCTTCAGAGCCCCCCATACCCCTTAGAAAATGGCCCCACTTCATGACACTCTTGGTGTTGCGTACATGTCTTGTGGTGTTTGTTTGATCTATGGTGGCTTTGTGGGCTGACTCGTTTTTTTTTTTTTTTTTTTTTTTTGAAAACCAGTCTTGTGGGCCGACTCAGGGCATCACCACACCAGTGTCGAAACAAAAAAAGAACGAATGCATCTTCCCACGGAGAAGCGCCAGATGCATCAATTACTATAAATAGCAATGAATGCACCTTACCACTTTTCTGTGGTAGATGCATTCATTCTATTTTCGTTTCGACACCGGTGTGGCGAGACCCTTAGAGTCAGAGGGGTCTCTAAGTGTTTTTAGACCAATTGCAGGTGACCTTTGTGTTGTGTCGCAACTAATTTATTTCGTTATATGTAATTGTCGTTTGTTAAGTATGTTGCCTTTTCCTCTCCATCCTTTTCTTATACATTAAAATATATATATATATGTGCAAATGTGCGGCTTCGACGTCAGATGGGATTGTGGGCAACTGACTCTTAACCACACAAACATGACCAACTTTGCATCTTCTACTATGTTGCCTATTTATACCTTTTTTATTTTATGGATGGTTTGTGATGATTTGTGGATGAAATGAAAAAGAGATTGTTTTTTTTTTTTTGGAACACACATGCACACACGCACACATACGTCCAGGTAAGCACCTCACATATTAGATCTCGAATCTAAAGCTTTCATAATATAACATCCGATTTTGAAACTGGAAAATTCCGTTAACGCGCCTCGATCGACACCAAATAAAGAGGTAGGCTAGCAAAGCTATATATACGTTCAATAGGAACAAGGTTCTCTAATAAACCTCACTCAATTGGAGACTTACGATTTATGTAATACTTTCACACATGCCCGCAAACACACACCCAAAGCCGACCACACACACACATACAAATCCACACACACACACACACACACACACACACACACACACACACACACACACACACACACAAAAAGTCTACCATTCTTAGAGGGGTATAATTAACTTTGGGCGATGTGGTGAGTCCTTACCTAGCAGTAAGATGCGTCCTTGGTGGATTGTCGGGGTTCAACCCCCTGATGAATTGGTGCAATCCGATGAAACAGTCTGTCAGCTTTCAAAAATAACTATGGTCGCATCATGTTTTCCTGTTTAGGTATGCAGCTGAAACTTGGAAAATTATGCACTTTGATGACAGCCTGAGTTTTAAATGCAAAGCAAACTCGGGCTTGCAAGAAAGAACGCAGTGAGTTTGAAGTGTCAGTTTTGTCACAATCACGTTGAACATGGCCAAGACCCCAACGACCTGGGTCAACACGGGCCATGAGGGTCAGCCGGTAATTAAATGTGGTACAACGCACTAATGGGCCAACAATAATGTCTCAAGGCTCTCAACCTCCTTTCATTTTGGTAAGAAAAAAAAATTAGTCGCTTGCTCTCTCTCTCTCTCTTTCTCTCTCTCTCTCTCTCTCTCTCTCTCTCTCTCTCTCTCTCTCTCTCTCTCTCTCTCTCTCTCTCTCCTCCCCCCGCCCCCCCCCCCCCCCCCCCCCCCCCCCCCTTACGCGCGTGAGAGAGAAGGGTCGTTTTTAAAGGATCGGGCCATATATATTTCTGCGTTGAATTCAGTGCAGAATCATGGCCAGATTCCTTTGGAAATGACCCTGGGCCCTTCTCTCTCTCTCTCTCTCTCTCTCTCTCTCTCTCTCTCTCTCTCTCTCTCTCTCTCTCTCCCTTTCCCACTTCTGAGAGTGTGCGTATGCTCGTGAGAGAGAGAGAGAGAAACAGTTGGGACCTTTTTGGGATGAATCTGGCCACATTTCCCAGCTGGATCTTCATGGCAAGATTCACTCGAAATGTGTCCCCTTCTCTCTCTCTATCTCTCTCTTTCTTTTCCACCCACTTGTGAGAGTGTTCGCGTGCGCGTGTAAGAGGGAGAGAGAAAGAGCTGGGACCTTTTTGGGATGGATCTGGCCACATTTCTCAGCTGGATCTTCATTGCCAGATTCACTCGAAATGTGGCCCCTTCTCTCTCTCTCTCTCTCTCTCTCTCTCTCTCTCTCTCTCTCTCTCTCTCTCTCTCTCTCTCTGTGCATATCTCTATGTCTCACACACACACGAACACACATGAGAAGTGAGATAATACGTTGGTCCAAGTGCAGAACAACTGACCATCGTTCTCTTAGACCTTGTAAAGACATATGATAGGGTGAGTCGTAAGTGCAATGAATATTCCAAGATGCTAGCTGCATAATGACACTTTGAAGAAATCAATATCCAAACACAACTCACATAATTACAACAACGAGAGGAGGCTGCTGAAGAGGAATCTGATTTAACTTCAATAACAGAAGATATTAGAAACATTGAATCCAAATTATTATTTTTTATGAAGAATCGGTGGCAAGGAGTCAAAATCAGAGGTAAATTGAAAGGATACGACATGGAAGGAGTGATGGACGCTGGATTCTTTGTCATAGCTAAGGCTAGAACAACAAAATCAATGATTGAGGTACTCTCAGATCCTCAAAACCCTTAGGGATTTTTGGTCATTTCGACCGCTGCTTGTTCTCAGATAGCAAGGAATTATTAGAATGACTTTTTAAAGTCATAATGTAACAACATACCCAAAGAACAATGAGTGAAGGAGATTGAAGAATTCCTTACACCCCTTACTAAATCTCTAACAGAAGAACAAAAAAATATATTACAATCAAATTTTTCCCAAAGTGAAATTTGGACTGCCCTTATGATAATGGAAGAAGAGAAAAGACCGGACATAGATGGTCTCCCAAAGGGATTTTGGAAGAAGATGTGGGAACATCTTTCACAAGATCTGATGGACTTTTACTATGCAGGCGAGAAAACGAATATTAAAAACTACAAGTAAATTACTGTGCTTAGTGTAGTATACAAATTGGCAGCAAAGGCTTTAGCAAACCGATTGATTGAAGTTATAACAAATATAATTCATCCTATTCGGACAGGTTTCATGGAATGAATGAATATTCAAGACAATATCCTTGTGGTTAATGAATTAATCATGTTGTCGAGACAATCAAAACATAATGTGACTTTTATTTTCATCGATTTCGAAAAAACATATGATCATGTGGACTAAGTATTTCTCGATAAATGTCTGAAAAAATTAAATTTTGGTCCATGTTTTCACAGATGGGTAGAGATCGTTCATTCAAATGCAACAACAAGGGTAATGATCAATGCCAACCTAGCACCACCCATTGCTCTTGAGCATTCAAAGAGACAAGTGACCCTATCGCACCTTTTTTTTTTTTGTTATCATGATGGAGACCCTAATGACCAATTGGCGACAAAACAAGGGTATTAAGCGTATTCAAGTCTCTTACCTTCCCAAAGAGGTCATCCTAGTTTGCTCCCTTTTTGCAGATGACCTCTCATTGATGGTTAATGCCTCTCATGAAAATCCAAACCTTGTAGAATAGATTTTGTTATCTCTCAAACATGTTGAGGATCAACTGGGTGAGCCAGACTCAGGGGTGGTGGATACATCACCAGGGGGTGAGACGACCGAAACTACCTCACATGAACTGGTTACCTCCAAATAATCTCATTATACTGTTGGAGGTCACCTTGTCTACAACAGACAAACCTTTAACAAACAATGAGTGAATAACTTAACTGTTTCTAACAAAAATTGAACAATAGAGGGATAAACAAACATTTCTTATAAGTATGACACCTATCAATGTATCATTAATAATGTCATTTTTGCAACCTTATGGTACAAAGCGACAATTTGGGCTCTAGACAGAGTAACTCTCAAAGCACTACAGAGACAAGTGACAACATATCTCTGGAGAGGTGATCATGATCATAATAATGTTATAAGCATGGT